AAACAACTTCAGTTCATCAAGGACACAATCTTTCTCTGGCCAGATAAACATTCCCCAACAGCTGGCCTCTGTTCACGGCATGACGGAGTCTCACCTCAAGGGCATGTATCCAGTGTTGTAGTACTCGAGATCGGTCTTGGTCTCAGATTAGGTGGTCTTGACCACAACACTGCATGTATCTATATTTAACCCTTGTCTCAAATGAGGAGGCAACTGCTCTCTGCCATCCCAACTCTTAACTCCCTGCATTACATTCCAGGATAGAGACTGGTAGAAGATTTCTCTAAGATTACTCTTGTTTCGCAGAGGAAAAACCTGCTCTCTCAAGGGAAACATTGCAGGGCTTAATATTGTCCCTCAAAGCAGATTTAACCAGGGGGTCCCCTTAAGGCGGCGGGTAGCTTGTAGCAGCGTAAATAAAGCTGCTTAAGTAGGGATTTGACATCAAGGGTAGTCACTCCTGCTTACACCATTGACATTTGATCCTCAGCCTTCTGGTGGAGGTTTCTTCCTGTTAGAAGGGAGTTTTTCCTCTCCACTGTCGCTACAAGCATGCTTAGTGTGAGGGATTGCTGAAGAGTCAATGAGTCGATGCAATCAGCTGGTTTTCCTTAGATAGAAAACTTTGAATCAATCTGACTGGATGATCTGGTGAACTGGAAAGTGACCTGAGATGACATGATGTGAATTGGAGCAATAGAAATACACTGAATAGAATTGACCCCAAACGTTTGAACGGTAGTGTATGTGTGCTAAGTGTGCTCCTCCACAGCAGTCATCAGATTCTCACACTGAGCTGCAGCTCCTCTTCCCAGTCTACCACTTTAGGTGGACAGCCATGTCCTGGTAGGTTTGCACTTTCTACGTTTAGATTAGTGATTGAACCTGTTGTATGAAAAAAAGTATTTAACTATTCGCCCCAGTTAAATAAACAGAGATCGATGGATTTCACTCAGCCGGCTCTTTATTTAATCTTTGCAAAGAGAGAACAGTTCATCATACGGCCCTTATTGCACGGTAATCAGCCCTGTTCTGATCCAGCAGCGTTCGTTTCTCCTTACTGACAATGATGGAAAGTAGTCAGAGTCAAAACTAATTACAGACACTTTGGTTAAACAGTAACATGTTAAAAATAAACCTGAGAAAGAATCTGGTTTGTTATGGGAAGAAGCTCTGTCTGGTCAATAAACTTCCTCACGCTGGAGAATGGTTTGGCCTTACAGAGAAAACAGACTGAGTGAAAAATGTAATAGTGAGTAAATAGAATAAATTAATATATAATAGAGAGAAATCTAAACTTTCGGACAACAGGATCAAAATCTGACTGTGAAAAAAACTGATTTGAAAGTGTAAAAAAGGAAAAATAAAACCCGGAAAGAAATTCTTTTGAATCTGAAAGTTCTATTTTTTCTGTTTCAACTTTTATTTTTTCAGTTATATCTGAGATTTAGAAGTTAACAAACATTTTGATACCTTCTTGAGAACAATGTGTTGCTTGCAATAACATTTCATTTAATAATTAATTACGTTTCTGATTATAATAACTCTGGATGCTCAGACACATCCCTGCTAGGAGGGTGCTAAAAAGAAGTTCCCTGTTTGTCAGAAATGATGGAGAATTATTCTTCTTCTTCCCTCCATAAACAGCCCTCTCTGTGATCCTGTGTGCTCGGTTTCATGGAGAAGCTGATGTAAGCGTATCTGTGGGGAGCATAAGCTCTTGTTTATCATTGGGAACCAAAGGGCCGCATCAGAAGGGTGAGAGCGGCGTCCTTTAACCAGAGGAGCTGCGTTAGTGATGGATGCTGCTGCCTGCTATGCTGACGTCTCCTGCTGAGGAACCATTGCTACACAGCGTCAGGCGGAGCATCAAAGCTCTACGCTTTGCTGTGACTGGGTCTAAAATCTAATCAGTCGGTGCCTCTGGGTGTCACTGTTATTTTAACTATTGTCTTTGGTAATACTGAACAAAATAAACTGATAAAAAAAAGAAAATCCTACATGCAAGATAGAAATCTCTTTCCAGTAAATAAGATCATGAAATAGTTTTTTTTTGTTGCAGTAATGCAGTGAGGTTGGTGTGCAGAGGTCCAGGGTCCTACATTTGCTTCAGGGTTAATTTATGAGTTAATCACAGGGAAACTATGGAAGCCCAGAGAGGTCATACTCTAATTTATTTTTTTTCTTTTGCCCTCTTGATATAATGACATAACTATCTCATTATCACAGTTAAACCATTAATTGTTTTCTCATGATAATTATCTCGTCATCACGAGAAAACAGTTATTGAGTTCCTGAGATAACGAGATGATTAACCTGTTCTGCAAAAAAATGTAATCTAAATACGTAATTTTGTCTTGAATTGAGGAGGTGAGACATTTTTCCAATGGAACAAGACATTTAAAATAAGAAAAAACTATTGCATTGTCTTATTTCAAGTGCTTATTATCTAATTATCTTATTTTAAGAGTGAAATGCTCATTCCATTGGCAAATCATCCCATTTAACTACTAAAATTAAGGATAAATACACATGATTTAAGACATTTTTACTTATTTCTAGATCATTTTTGCATACTTTTTTATGCAGCCCTGGATTGCCAGTCCATCCATGCCTGCGGGGCCCATGTGGCTGCAAATAATCAGTTTTTTACTTTCCTTTTTCTTTCCACTCATTGTCAGGTGGGGGTGGATGATTGGAATGCAGTAGAAACAGATCTGACTTTTTTTTTTTTTATGAAAATCTTTAATCTGGACTCATTTTGGGGGTTAATGCATCTTACAGCTGTTCCAGGCGGAACACCTGGAGGCGAAGGTCTGACTGCTGATGAATCAGAAGTGGAAGCAAATGATCAAACCAACAACGTTGTCTCATTACCTTAAAGTTAAAGACAGGATTATTTGCAGAATGACACATAAGCTGCCATAACGTATAAATCCTCTCCTGCTGTTGTGGTATTGAAGGATGGAATCAGTTTTATCACCAATCATCTCGTTATGACGAGAAAACGGTTTCGTTTTCTGTAGATAATGAGAAAATTAACTCGATATCTCAAGGAAATAACTGTGAAAAAGTATCAGAGGGACATGACCGCTCTGGACTTCCGTAGAAAACAAAGAAACAGAAAGAAAACATAATATTCTTCTGTAAATGTAGCCTGTAGACATTTTGAACAGACCTGTTCCACTGTAGCCTCATGTTGAATCTCTTCCTGCTCAGAAGGAACAATAGAACATGGCCTTCAAAAACGCAGCTGGAGGAAAAAGTTTCCATCTGGTTGAAAAGGTTCAATCAATGTCAGCCTGATAGTAGAAAACTCAGAAAAACCCAGAGTTTAAAGGCTGCTTCATCTCTGATGGTGTCTATAGATCTTTGCTTTACCTTCTTTGGTCCGTTTTTCCTTCTTTTTTAGTAGATTTCAAAATGATTTAATCATTTATACAGTCAGCTGGTTCATTTAGAGTGCAATGATACAGAAGTTATTCTTCGTTTTCACACAAACTTCCAACTAAATTCTATTCAGTTTATTTCTATTGTCATGATGGGTTTCAGAAAAGCCCAGTATGCAGAACACCACCGAGACAGATGAAAAGTTTAACAAGTTTATTTAAGCACAAGCACATGGATTAAACACAGGAACTGGTTCAGGCCTGGGGGCAGGTTCACAGGAGTCTGTGAGGATGACAGTTCAGTTAACTTGGGAGCAGATGAGTTTGAGAGTTTCTGATTTATACCTTGAGGAGTCCGGGTTTGGCTTTGAGGGAGGAACTGTTGGGTCCAGGGATTGTTTTGTTCAGCAGAGTTCAGTAACCGCTTCAGCGTCTTGCTTCTAGGGTGAGGGCAGACCTTGGCTTTGGGTTTCCAGCTCTTAGTCCAGAGTAGCATGGGAATCCAGAGAAGAGTCTTCAGGTTTGGCTCAGAGGGCAGGCTCGGCAGGTTAAGCTCATCCAGAGCTTACAAGGGAAACTGGATTCCTGTAAGAAGAGACAAAGAGGGATTAGAATCCAACCAGGGCACAGAAGCAACGAAGGTACTAAGGAGATGCTAGGCTCAGGTGCTAACCAAACTGGATAAACACTGCGGCGTGGAGGCAAGGTCCTCATCAGGAGGGGGATCCTCCTGATGATGAGATGCGCCTCAGGTGTGTCGAAGGCTCAGCTCAGGAGGATCCACGGCGCACTCTGCTGGAGAAAGGTGAAACTTCTCCAGATCCCAACATCTATAGCGCTAATTCCCATCATGTCATCTCAGGTCACTTTCCAGTTCACCAGATCATCCAGTCAGATTGATTCAAAGTTTTCTATCTGAGGAAAACCAGCTGATTGCATCGACTCATTGACTCTTCAGCAATCCCTCACACTAAGCATGCTTGTAGCGACAGTGGAGAGGAAAAACTCCCTTTGAACAGGAAGAAACCTCCAGCAGAACCAGGCTCAGTGTGAGCGGCCATCTGCTGAGGCCCACTGGGGTTCAAGGAGACAGAAGCAGACATAGAAAAAGAAGCATAGATACAAAAGGCAACTGTCAACCAGCTCCACAGGCGGCCCCGTCCAGGAAACACACAGCCAGGCAGACGAGCTCCGAGCCAGCTCCCATGTCAGAGGATGAAGAGAGCACATCCAGTTAGTCACAGTCAGAGAAACAGGACTACACTGGAAAACAGGCCAAGCTCCAACATCTAGAAACAAAGGTGTTGATGGCAGCAGCACAGCTGATATTTCTCTCCAGGATGGAGTCACAGCCAAACAGGAACAGACCAGATGAAGCTACTATGAGAAAAAGCAGAGAGAGCAAAACGTTAGAGTGTTCTTTGACAAACATGGATGCCTCCAGTAAAGCACATTCAAATGAAAATTACTATTAATTAAAAACACTGATCATTTATTAAACAGTAGGTAATAATTTCATATTTAAAGTACTTTCAGAAGTTTATATTCTGAATATGAGCGACTTTTCCTTTAAGACACAGAGTAAAAAACCAAACCACTATAAACCAAAACTTAAACTGAATCATTCAGATTTTTATTTATTTATGACTTTTCCATCACAAAGTCCAAAGACCTTAAAAACCCAACGGAGAGATTTGAAGGTTTATTTATTGAAAAATAATCTTGTGAGCTGCCCTGTGTGTTTGTCCTTTGTTCTCAGTGATGATCGCTGCGACGGATGCAGCCTCAGAAGTCTGAGAAATATCCGCCGCTGGAAGAAAGGATGGACAGCAGAGATAAGCTGGCTGTCCGTCATCCTCTGTCTGACTGCCGACTGGAGGGTGGATGCTGACCCGAGGGTGCCATCTCCATGACGACTCCATCATGGAGTGAATCCATACCCCCGATATTACAGAGGTGAAGATTCAGAATAAATCAGTTGATGTTTTTTCACTGTGCAGATAATGTAAAGCTTTTTGTCTTCAGTCTGACCGCCGTCTGCAGCTGCTGCAGTCATCAGAATAAATTCATCAAACAGCAACTCTTTAAATTTATCCCATTTAGCTTCTTGTTAGACATGTGTCTCGTTATTATAGGCAGTCTCTGCAGAGCGCCACCTGTCCTCCAAGGAAGTCCCTGCAGGGGCAGAGGCGTCGGTATTTAGGAGAGTGACCCGCGCAGCTGAAGAGTAACGGCTCCCTCTGAAGACTGCACTCCCGCCGCATCACGGAAAAGGCTGGAAGGATGTGGTTGATCTCAGAGTCCACCACCTCGCACTGCACCTCCAACCTGAGGGGAAAAACAGCAATTATGGTTTAAACACAGGAGGAAACAAGAAATAAAAACCTGGAAAAATCCAATGAAACATTCAGCAAAGATTAAGAAACTATTTATTTAACGCTGCTCAATGAAACAAGTATTATTGCTATAAATCTATAAAGCTCAGAGTGAAAGTTAGGAAGATGATCACAATACTGATAATATTAATATATAAAAAGTTCATGTTTTTATGATACCATTGACCTGTTATTTGAGCTAAAATTATATTTAGAGAAAACATTTAAAGCATGATAATAATAGTAATTATTAAAATGGCTGATTTTCCTTTTTATGGATTTTCTGATAGCATATTTTAATCTAAATTACATTTAATGAAACCCATGTCATGTATACTGAATAATTCAAAACTACAGAGTCACACTTTCAATAGTATTATGCTGCGTTCACACCTAAAGCAGCAGCAGCAGCAGGAGCAGCTGGTTTACATGCAGCTTCAATGGTTGATGCGCATCAAGGTGCAGAAAAAGGTCCTGCAGCGTTTTAAACAGCTGACGCAGCGCGTCGTTAGCGTCTGAGCGGCAACCCAACATGCATCAGTTGAACCGGCGCCTGGGTTTATGGGGCTTTGTATCAGCATTAGGGGTGTAAATAATAATCGTTTTGTATCGATGCATCGATCCAACAGCCGACGATCCGATGCATCGACACGTCCGCAAGATAATCGATTCATGTTTTTTTTCCCTCCGGTCTATTTTTATCCATTTGCTCCTGGGCGTAATTCTCCCTCCCGTGCTGCGGTGGCGCTAAACCTATTTTGCCCTCCTACCTCGCTTCCTGGTTATACTCTTACAGCAGTGTGTTGCAGTGAGCTTGATGCAGACATTTTTAAATTATGCTCAGTATTGCAGCGTGGTCTGGGCTACACGCTGTGGGTCTAGATACGGCCGAGTTTAGTCCGACGACGAAGGGACATGAGGGCAAAAAGAGCGGCGATTCAGCTGGAAAAGGCTACCAGCGTTCTCGCGCACCTCGCTCTTCTAGCGGGTCAAACTTCACGAGTTGTTTTCCGCAATTTCGGTCATAAAAACAAAACAAGCCGGCCTCCTGTCTGCTGCACTGTCTGCGGTCAGCTACAATCTGGGAGAGGAGCAGCGGAGCGTCTCTCAAGGGGCGGTGACGTCAACACTCTGGGAGCCTTCTTCTTCTTCTTTTTTTTAATGGCGGTTGGCAAACAACTTATAGTTGCATTACCGCCACCTTCCAGAATGGAGTATGGACCAGACAAACTATTATATTCTCCCTAAAATACCCGTTCTTCTTAGAAAATTAAAAATACTACCAAAAACTACATCCCCAGATGACCTTTGAAACAATTCCCTTATATGCAGTTTATTTTTATTCCTGTCTAACTCTCTAAGCAACATCTCTCTTTCCTGACTATATTTATTACATTCTAAAAAAATATGTTGGACAGTTTCTCCGGAGCCGAGGTATTGCATTGCACTCATTACACTGATATTGTGCAGTATTTTTGCAGTATTTTTTGATGCAACTTTTCTACTTCTGTTATTTGCTGTTGTTTCTAAAGAAATTGCATAATGATATTACAGCTTTCATTGATTTATTTCGAACTTGAAACTTTGTTTAGCCTGTAAGGTGTAAAAATAATAATAATAAAAAAAAACAAAACAATTAATCGATTAATCGAATCGAATCGTGGTGTATTCTTGAGGAATCGAAAATAATCGAATCGTTGGGTCAGGAAATCGATACTGAATCGAATCGCCATGATGGATGTGATTTACACCCCTAATCAGCATGTGTTCCCATTATGCTACGTTCACACCTAGAGCAGCTGGTTTACATGCGAAGGCAAAGTTACAGAGGATGCTTGTGTTGCTGAAAGGTAAAAATATGAATGAAAAGAGAAAAGATAAAAAGAACCGGTTCACAGGATTTGTATTTTGTCTTGTTTAAAATGGGACCCCTGAGATGAATCTTTTTAAGTGCAGAATGTCACGTTAAAAAACGTTAACAAGTAACATTCATAATAGAAAAAGTCAAATAGTTTATTTAAACAACAAAATAGATTGTAAAAAAACCCATTTAAAAAAAAAACAGTTTTTAAAAAAACCAGTTTCTACTGTTTCTATATAGCTTCTGTGTATATATATATATATATATATATATATATATATATATATATATATATATATATATATATATATATATATATATATATATATATATATATATATATTTATATATATATATATATATATATTTATATATATATATATATATATATATATATATATATATATATATATATATATTTATATATATTCTATCTTATTTTGTTATTTTTTTATAATTTTTTTTTTTGTCTGCACCAACAACACCAAGTCAAATTCCTTGTAAGTGCAAACCTACTTGGCAATAAACTTGATTCTGATTCTGATTAACTGCTCAAAAAGTAAAGCTTTTTTAAAGAGCTTCATTGTTTTGGGAACTTGTCTGCCTGCACACTGCAAAAAAGTTTATTTTCCTTAAAATAAAAGCGTTTTTTCTTGAATTAAGCAGTTAAGTGAGACACTTTGCCAATGTAATAAGACAATTTACATTTAAAATACGAAAAAACAACTGCGGTCTCTTATTCAAAGTGCATACTATCTAATTATCTTATTTTAAGAGCAAAAATACTCATTCCATTGGCAGATTATCTTCTTTACCTGCTCAAATTAAGGGTAAATACACTTAATTAAAGACATTTTTACTCATTTTTAGATTGTTTTTGCAGTGCAGCATCCCTGCTCTCGTTATGGTCGTCTGTTTAGGCGTGGGGGAGTCACTGAAAATCTCCCGGTCCTTTTTCACACCACAGTCTTCCTTTCTGTAGGACTGCTGGTATTTTACAGCGTGCTCCACCTTGCACAGCTCCGCCAAAGTTATTTTAGCATCCATGAAATATCCCTCTGTGATGAGGTACCTGTTGCACGTTTATTACTTCTATGTTTATCCGTACATGCCGTTCAATCGCAGCTTTCCTTCGACTGCTTACATCCACATCGCATCGACAAAGTATGCAGAAGCCTTGGAATGATTCTGGACTACTTTTCGTTATAAATTCACGCTGTTTTGTCCATTCAGAGTTAAACCAGGTCTTTCTTTTTTGGCATGATGCTAATTTAGCAGCACTCTGATCCTTCTTTACTTATTTAACCAATGTACAGCAGATATATATCTGACGCTGGGCCACTCATAGCCAATCATCTGTTAGAACAGATAGTCAAAGCATTTTTTTTTAATTATGTGATTGGATATTGTGCTGCAGCCCTGAGAAAATGGAAGAAAAACCTACTCTTTAAGCCTCGTGCCTCATAAAGGAGGACAAATAGACGTCGGGCTGGAAGTGGCGCTGGACGCCTGACAATCCAATGAAACTACGGACTGTCAGGCCTAAAAAATCTGGACTGTCAGGCCTGAAAAATCTGGACTGTCAGGCCTAAAGCCGGACATCTGGCCACCCTAGGTCCCATCGAGGACATGCTCCAGCTGGGAACACCCCCACACTAGACCTCTTAACAATTAATTTTCATAGCAGGCTGGGTGATTTCCTATTCGTTGGAACTCGACAAACCCATTTTATTCCCAGACAATGTTTATGCCCTAAAGGCCCTCAAGTTATAACCGTCTAGATAACGAAAAAAACCAACATAATATTTTTAGAGGGAAGGGTATAGAAATTTGCTATAAATTCTAAAAAAAAATAGATTAACAAAGTTGGCAATAATCCAATTTAAAAGCTAATAAGAGTATCTACTGATGCTTATTAATATATATATACATATATACGTATATATATATATATATATATATATACATATATATATGCATATATATGTATATATGCATATATATATATATATATACATATATGCATATATATATATATATATATATATATATATATATATATATATATATATATATATATATATATATATATATATATATATATATGTATATATAACCTGAGGATGACACATACATTTGTTTTAACTATGAATTTTGTAGCACTTTGACATTTTGTTGAAATGTAAAGTGCAATACAAATATAATGTATTATTATTATTACCCCACGAGGGGTGAGAAAACAGTTGGTATATATATATATATATGTATATATATATATATACATATATATATATATATATGTATATATATATATATATACATATGTATATATATATATATATATTTATATATATATATACATATATATATATATATAAACTATGTGGCAACTTGGTTTGTTAATGGAAGATATTTAATTAATTCTGTGAGTGAGTTTTTGAGATGCTGTGTCTGTTGTCAGTTCTGTGATGCTCTGAGGCCCTGAGGTTCTGTTCCTCCCCTGAGCTGCTGAGATGTTAGTAATAGCGGTGAGTTTTAATGAAGCTGGTTATTAATAAGCTGATTATTGCTGTTCTTCTTACCCTCGCAGAGCGTCCTTGTTGTTAATGAAGGGGAAGTGAGCAGGTTCACAGATCCAACCCGCTGACTGGCAAGCTTCAACACAAGACTGGCCCTCCTGAGACACCAGCAGTCTGAGGGAGCTGAGCGGCGGCCAGGCCGTGGGAGCCGTGGCGTTGGATGCCCAGCCAAGGGCCGTGGAGTTGGGCAGGGGCACAAACAGAGGTCCGATTACCTGGCTGCCACTAGCTGATCCCAGTCTGGATAAATTGGCTGAGATGAAGGGAGGCTGCGGCACACAGAAGTCCTGGAAAAGAGAATCAAATGAGTCTGTGTTGGTTTGGCTGTGAATACGCCAGAAAAAAAGACCTTAAAGTGATTTACTGCTGCTATAAAACGAGCTTATTCCACTGCTGAACCGGAAAAATGGTTTTATTTCTCAGTGATACTGGCCTCTGTTTTATCATTCAGGAGATGCTACTCAGTTATGTTCATATCAAGGACCTAAACAGGCTGAACTATTTGCTTTAGCTGCTGTTTGGTTTCAGTTCTGTTTCAGTTTTAGTTTTCATGACTTTTATTTCCTTTTTGTGTTTTTCTACTTATTTTAGATTGTATTTGAGCGTTTAGGTATTTCTTGTTTGCCCTCTTCTTCTCCTAGCTCCCTTCTAGTCTCCTCTGTTCACACCTGCTCCCAATCTGCTGATCAGCCTGCTCTTCTGTCTCCCATATATACACCTCCTGCTCAGTCACTGTTGCTGGTTTTTCATAATTTCTTTGCCTTTGTTGGGAGGATTCCTGGTTTTCAGTGATTTTTTGGATTTTTGCTTCTGTTGCCAACTTTTAAATAACCTCTGTGAGAAACCACCTTCAGTTTCAGTCTCTGGGTCCTTCTCTCCAACCTCCACCCACTGATATTGGGATTTTGGCCGATATCCGATATGCCGATATTTTAAAACTCATGTAGCCGATAACCGATATCGATACCGATGTTAAAGCTGGACAAAAATAAGTAGTCATCGAAAATAGCAGTTTTGTTATCCATTTCTGACACTTTGAAAATAATAAACTCAAATATATTTTCATATGCTGATATCAAATTGATTTTTAAAAACGCGGTATCGAAATTTCATCGTTCTGTTACAAACTCTCGTGATATTTTGCAAATTCTTGTGAGATTTTGTTAGTAAAATAGATCGATACCGCGTCAATATATCAACATATAAAAATATGGCAACATTTGGTGAATTTTGGGGGGATTTCGTAGCATAACGATGACATATAGCAATATTTCATTAGTAAAAGAGATTGATATGGTGTTTTTAAATGGCAATATATCAGCATAGGAAGATATTGGGATATTTTAATGTATCAATATTTTTTCCCTCGTCTTTAGAAGTTTTTAAGTCTGTAAAAAAGAAGTTTTTGAGGAAGAAGAAGTAGTATTTTTTTTTTTTTAGACTTTAGAAACTCAGAAGCTGATCAAATATCGGGTTAAATATCGGTGGGGTGGCCGATGTCCAATATTCAGTTTTAAGGCCGATACCGATAGGGGGCCGATTATATCGTGCATCCCTAGTAAATACACTTAATTTAAGAAAATATTTACTTTCTTCTACATCATTTTTGCAGTGTAGCAAGACTTGCTATAAGGAGAAGATGGGATGCACCACATAACTACACTATCTTGCCTTTTTTAGCATATCAGAATCTGTCCAATAAGTGAAACTGGGCTGATATTTACAACCTTTCCATGTGTTTGTTTCCTAAGAGGAAGAGGAGTTGCCATTTAATGAGGTAAATGACCTCACTTTGTAAAAATATCCTTCCCTTATAAAAATTTTCTTACTTTGTAAAAATGACCTTACACCAAAGGTTAAAAACTGAAACTGTTCTTCAGTCTTATTCTAAAACAGTTACACAAACATACAACAAGATTTACAGTTTTTTCTGAATATGTAAATATGTATGTATAAACAGATGAATTATTGAGTGGAACAGAAGCCCTCTTTATATTCCTGCAGGAGTGCAGGGAAGCGTACCTGATGCTGAATGTAGGCATGCAGCCTCTCCAGCATCCCCTCACAGGTGTACTCATAAGGCAGATACGGCTCAACCTGTAAGACATGCAACCAACAACAAGGTTAGTTTAGTGACATTTTATTGTTTGGATTCTGAATCATTGTTCACTCTAATTGCCCTAAATTTCCTCCTCCTCTTGTTGATTTCTGGAGATGAATGTTTCCATTGTCAGGTTCTGCAAAGCCTCATCATAGCGTGTCACTGCTTTGCAATTCGTTAGACTTTATTTGCATTCCAATAGATCATCCCTTGATGTGAGATAGGAGTTTTATAACTAACAGACCCTTTTGATTGGCCTAATTAGCAATGAGCTCCAAGGACTATACATCACCAGGGTTTCTTTTAATGTTTAACACACAGCGACGGACCGGCACGGAGCAGGAAGAATGCTGAATATCAAAGGCTGTAAAACCAAGTTCATTAAGCTGGTTCTTACTTTTTATGTTCAAGTCTGCATTATGGATAGATTATTAAAAATAGAAGGTAAGTTAGTGCTTGGAGCGGAATAAAATGATGCATTTTCAGCTGCATAACTTATAGTCAATAGAATAGGCTCTGTTTACAGGCTAAACAAGCTGGAGTTTTAGAAAGTCATTATATGGAGTCAAGATATGTTTCATCCTAAATGTTGGACACGTTTAAAGGAAAATGTCAAAATGCTGCAAAAGGAAAAAAAAAGAATAGCTAATTAGGTGTTTTTCCACCTGATTATGGGCAAATTAGCAAAGCTACAGAAAACATTATTTCCTCAGAATTTAACATTAAACATCAGCAGGAAGTACAGATTCAAACATCCAAGAAATACGGAGAGATGTTTTCAGGAACATGTTGCTTCCAGGCTTGATGTCACTGTTGTCATTTCATCTGGAATTGGGGATTTTAAATACAGTCCATGAAGATGCTAACGGCGGAAACAGCTGATCAATGGGAGGTAAATGTTTGACTCATCAGAATTTATTCATCGAATATGTTTCCATCTTCCTCTCAGTGCATTCCTACACGTCTTTTACAGGAACGAAAAAACAACAACATAGACTGAGCCTTAATACTTTTTTAAGGAAGTTATTTTTAATTTAGAAATTTCCATTAACGTTGAGAAGTAGACTGTGATTTCCTCACTTTAGAATCAAACAGAAAGAAAGAAAGAAAGAAAGAAAGAAAGAAAGAAAGAAAGAAAGAAAGAAAGAAAGAAAGAAAGAAAGAAAGAAAGAAAGAAAGAAAGAAAGAAAGAAAGATTGATTTCTTGGAATAGGAGAGTTTGTCGTCCAGCTAGAGCTTTCTTAGTGCTGCCTGACGGAGCATGAACCTCTACATCTCTCAGTGAGTGCGCCTCGGTGCGTGTCTCGCGTTAATGGCTGTAATGTGCAGGTAAGGCCCCATGTCAGCTGGGTGAGTCAGCAGAGGGACGTTATCTGAGTGTCTGAGGCATGTTGCCTGCACTGAAGGGTGAAGTGGTCCATCAGCTCTCCCTCAGAGGAGATGGAGACGGCGCCGTCAGCCAGAGCTGCAGTCTGATAAAATCATTCACACATGCCTCCACTGTAGACACCAACCTGTCAAAGCTCCATGCACACTTGATTCACTCGGCTGATTCCTACAGCAGGGGAAGAGCAGAAACCAGACAGCTGTCCTCCGCTTGTTTCACCGCATGCAGAATGGATTGTGTTGGGTGAGCACATCATCTAGTATTTCTTTGTTTGAATGGTTAAAATGCAGAAATAACAGATAAGCTAATAAAGAAGTGTGTGATAGTTTGATAGTGAGAGGGAGATCAATAGATCAGCTGGTGACCAATATGGACCGTAAAACCCAGAATTCAAGCAGACAGATCAGCGTATTACCAAAGCAAGCTTTGGTAACAGCAGCTCGCCAGCTGAGGCAGGATCACTGCATTCTCTGCAGAGGTGGAAACTCAGGTTAGTGACTACGTAACTCAGACGGTTAACGATGATGAGCATGTGAGTCGCTAACCTGTTCAGTTTGAGCTAAGAGGAAGGAGTGGAATTGGGAAGGATTGTTTCTCCACAGCAGGCGGCGAGCTGCCGTCAGAGTTCCAGGAGAGAAGCAGAGCAGAAAGACGAGCAGAAGCCAACAGAGGATGAAGAGCAGAGGAATCCGGAAAGATGATCCAAGGGCAGAGTGGAAGCAGGAGCAGGTTTCCAGGCAAGAAGATCAGAGATCCAAGGATGTTTCCAAGCCTGGGTCAAGAGACAGATCCAAGGCAGGATCTGGCAGGATCCAGGTAATAGTCCGAAGACAGATCAGGCAAACAGAGCAGAAACAGGGGTAATGAAAACTCAGGAGTCCAGAAGCAGAAACTAGTCAGGATCAAGTAATCAGGAACACACTGGTACGCTACAGAACTCCCACACAAGACTCAAATAATCTGGGATTGATGGCTGGGACCAGATCAGATTTAGAAGAAGGGGCAGAAACACAAACCGGATCTGGTTCTGTAGGTGCTGGGGCCATAGTTACTGCAGAGTCATGAGTTCCTGAACTAATTACATGAGTTCTGGGTAACAGGAGGCTTGGAGATGAAGAGAGTCTGGTACGTTCCAGTCGAGTTCCGACCTTTACTGGATAAGACCTCACCAGGTGTACCTCTCCGCCGCAGTAAAAACGCAGGTTAAGCTGATGACATCGGTTCCTCTCCTCCTTGGACAGGTTTGTGTGTCCCAACTGCATCAGTTCCGGTTCTGGCACTCGAGCCAGACCAGGAATCGTCACAAGTGCAAAGGGAGCGGGGTGAGGAGTTGGTCGAGGGAAAACCGACATCAGTGCTCTACATTCTCTGCGACATTCTATGAGTTGAAGGTCTATCCGGTTAGCAAGGTCCTCCAGCTGCTTCAGAGTCTGGAGGTAGTCGCACGTCGAATGTTCATCTTTAATCCTTTGATGAAGGCCAAAAGAGAAAACATCCATGAGGGAATCCTCATTCCAGAATGTGGCAGATAACAGGTGGTGGTCAGTGATACGACTGATCACGATTCAAGCAAATCTTCCCTACTAGAAAGAGCAAAAAACTTGGATTAGTTCCTCTGAAAAATCATCGTAAGAATTAGACAGGCCAGGATTGTTTAGCCACTTCAGCATTGCCCACATTTTAGCTTTACCCAATAACAGAGAGATTATGTAAGCAACTTTAGATCATTCAGAGGGAATCATGGAGGGCTGAAGTTTGAAGTGGATTTCAAATTGTGTCAAGAAAGCCCGACAAGAGACAGAAGCAAGGTTGTAAGCAGGCAGAATGCAGGTAGCAGTCCGAGGACAGATCAGGCAAAAGTGTGTTAAGGCAGATCTTTTAGTTCTCAGGCTCCTCTCCTGTGGAACCAACTACCAGTTTTAGTCCGTGAGGCAGACACCCTGTCTACTTTTAAGGCTAGGCTTAAAACTTTCCTTTTTGATAACGCTTATAGTTAGAGTGGCTCAGGTTATCCTGAGCTATCTCTATAGTTATGCTGCTATAGGCTTAGACTGCTGGAGGACATAGGGACCCCTTTTTCATCATTCTGCTTCATTCTATCTCTATTCTCCCACTCTGCAGAATCTATTAGTTCAATCTCTAACGTTCTGCTCTCTCTGCTTTTTCTCATAGTACACTGAAAAAAATAATGCAACTGCTTTTGGCATTTACTTAATCATTTTTAGTTACTTTTAACTCAATTGTTTTAATGTCCTACCCAGCTAATATGAAACAATTGTATTAAAGTACCTAAATATGATTAAATAAATGCCAAAAACGGTTGCATTATTTTTCTCATAGTAGCTTCATCTGGTCTGTTCCTGTTTGGCTGTGACTCCATCCTGGAGAGAAATATCAGCTGTGCTGCTGCCATCAACACCTTTGTTTCTAGATGTTGGAGCTTGGCCTGTTTTCCAGTGTAGTCCTGTTTCTCTGACTGTGACTAACTGGATGTGCTCTCTTCATCCTCTGACATGGGAGCTGGCTCGGAGCTCGTCTGCCTGGCTGTGTGTTTCCTGGACGGGGCCGCCTGTGGAGCTGGTTGACAGTTGCCTTTTGTATCTATGCTTCTTTTTCTATGTCTGCTTCTGTCTCCTTGAACCCCAGTGGGCCTCAGCAGATGGCCGCTCACACTGAGCCTGGTTCTGCTGGAGGTTTCTTCCTGTTCAAAGGGAGTTTTTTCTCTCCACTGTCACTACAAGCATGCTATTTCTATAGCGCGAATTCACGACACATGTCATCTCAGGTCACTTTCCAGTTCACCAGATCATCCAGTCAAATTGATTCAAAGTTTTCTATCTAAGGAAAACCAGCTGATGCAGAAGTTAGGATGTCGTTGGACAGAAGTTCTGGACTCGTTATGAATACTTTATGTTTACTTTATATTTACAGCCAGAATAGAAACAATCTATAGAAAGTTCAGCGTTTTAGGAGATTCTGGGACGTCGGCGGACGCTGGATAAATCAGCAAGGTGTGAGAGGGGATTTAGTAATTCAGGCAAATTCCAGGGATTTCAAATTTCTCACATCATTTTTAATGGCTGTTTGCTTACCTGCTGCTTTTTGCCTGGTTTTTAACCATTTTATTGCTGCCAGACAAACAGAAAGCTGCAGCTAAAGTAGGAACAGAAAGTCGGCTCATCTTTAGAAACTTCATAAACTGCAGTTTAACTTATTACTGCTGGGTAGTTACGGTGACCTACATCAGCAGATATTATTTACTTTTACTTTCTTTTCAGTTTTAATGGGGACTGAAAAGAAAAATCGTTTTTTCCATCTGACTGACTTCATTTGCTCATTTCCTTCTGTTTCTCCACCTCCTCTTGTGTTTGTGTTTTCTAGAAAGATTGAATCTACCCAGCTGACTCCTTAATTAACCTTTCTGTGGCTCCTGGCATTCTCTTATTCCTTATCTGCTCTGAATTTATCTCCTTCTGTAATCACCATCTGCCTCCTACACACAGAAATAGGCCCTGGAGGAGCCCAGGCTTTGTAAAGCTTGGCTGCTGTTGGGTCAAGGTTTAGGAACCATTAAACAAAGCGAAAGCAGGAAGATCAGATCTGGGACTTTATTTGCCTTTTCAAATAAAATATATAGGTAATGGATTTCTGCAGACTCATCTCTATTTATTCACTGGATTGCTGATAGCCTGAAAAAAGTGTAGCCACCATCCGCCATGTTGGTACTCCAGCAGAGACATGCAGTTAAAATGCCTCCCTGTGCAGCATTTAGCTGCTAAAACCAGGAAGACGTTCCACTGGTCAATTCCCAGTCAGTGGATGAACTAAGCAATAAATCCATCTATAGCCGATGGATCCTATAGTTTAGTCTGCAGACTAACATTAGTCTGGCTATCTCATTGACATTGACTGAGTTAGACGCTGACATTGGGTCTAACGTTAGAAAATAGAAAGTAGAGGAAATAGAAAGTCATTCACTGAGAAATTGTCTGTTCCTGTTTGGCCTTTTGTATCTATGCTTCTTTTTCTATGTCTGCTTCTGTCTCCTTGAACCCCAGTGGGCCTCAGCAGATGGCCGCTCACACTGAGCCTGGTTCTGCTGGAGGTTTCTTCCTGTTTAAAGGGAGTTTTTCCTCTCCACTGTCACTATAAGCATTTTTGTAGTGTTTATATTGCATTTTGTATTGATGGGAAAAAGGATATAAATATATATATATATATATATATATATATATATATATATATATATATATATATATATATATATATATATATATATATATATATATATATATATATATATATATATATATATATATATATATATATATATATATACATATATATATACATATATGTAAGATGTAATTACGATAACAATGTAATCAATAAATGTTTATTACATGTACATAATCAATTTAGCACTTTTGGCTCATCTGTATTATTCTGCTCCTTTAACACATTAATTTATTATTTATTATTATTTATTAGTTATATTATATGATTTATAGACTTCATTGACTTCATAATGACTCTGCAATGAGGTGGGCCTATTTTCTTTAATCTAAGTTAATCTACTGATGCTATGAAACAGCCAGTCTGTGACAAAGTGATGAATTTATCTGTATTTTAAAAGTATTTATTCCCCCTGAAAACTGACACTGTTCACATTGCGACCGGTCTAACTAGGGAGTACCAATATGGCGGCCGGTGGCTTCAGTTTAACCCTGGACTACCAACTGGAAATCAGCAACTGTGATCCCATTTAGTTAAACAGTTTTGCACATTTCAATTATAAAATGAGCAAAATGCTCCTTAAACAATAAATGAAAGAAGATTGAACTTATAACGCTGGCTGTAAAGATGCGATGCACAAACTTGTTTTTAAATATTTCTGACTCTTAAAGATGAAAAGTGGTTTATATATTATATTCCTTTTCTTTTTTCTGTTTTTCATGCATCTTATTGTACCTTTGTCCTCATGATTTCCTGGATGGCAGCTTCAAACTGCAGCGAGTTGTTGTAGTCGACCGTCATGACGTGCGGTCTGCCGATGTACTGCTCTGCATAAGGGTGCTGGGAGAAAACCTGCAGGAAAAGCATCAAATATTAAACATATTGAATATTGTCAGTTATTGTAAAATGCTCTTTCTAAAAGCCTGTCGCAGTAGGAACAACTAACTATGATCAAAAGCATTCAAAGCACATCTCCAGTTCTCACAGATGAAACTAATTCTGCAGGAAAGATGAAAGAAATAAAGAAAGAAATTCGTTCCTAACTGCAGTTTGGAAGGAAGATTCAGTGATGATGTCACCTGTCGAGATGTAGGCTTTCCTCGGAAGAACTCATGATTCAGTGAGCTGTGGGGGGGCTGGAACTTAGGCTGCAGGAAGATGCAACCATTGGCTATGGCTTCAAGAGGGGCGGGGCCTTCATATGGAAACCCAAAACCAATAAAGAGCTGGGAATAAAAAAAACAACATATTTATGAGTTTATGAGCTCATTCCAGAGACTGTTCTGTTTAGGAGATGTTTTCATTATAAATATTCTGGATTACTTTTAATCTGTGCGCCCTGATGGACGAATGGAGTAAAAACAATTGAAAATTGGATTTATAAAACGGCAGTACCAGCCAGTTGCTTAGGGCCCGAAGTTCCTGGGGGCCCCATAAATCTTGGTTTCCATGTATGCTTAATACAGATATTCCTGTATTATTTCTGCACATTAATTATGTTTTTATTATAAATTTGCTTTGCTAAAATGCCATCAGAACGCTGATAATATTAAGTGTGTCTCAGCCCCCCCCTTCAGTGTCCACCATATTGGATCAGTCCATTTGCTGCACATGTTCAGAAAGGTCCAAACAGACAGCAGCAAACCATTTGAAATGGGTCTTTTTTATGTGTCGTATTCTCAGTGCAGAGGGCCCCCCTTCCTGTCTTTGCCTGGGGCCCCGAATTTCCTAAATCCGTGCCTGTTTCTAAATCTGGTGAATGAAAAGAAAACTTGTGGATTAAAGGAACCAGGAAGTGAGAATGTGACTGATAGATAAAGAAGGGAGGTCAGAGCCTCTGGTTGCTTGCCTTGGCCTTACGGAGGAGCTGCTGCAGTTCATGTTGGGGCAGCAGCCCGTGGTTCTTCACGAAGGCCGGGACCTCCGGCGGCCTCTGGGTCTCATAGTAAACCGTACCGTGGACCTCCATGTACCTGTGAAGGATCTCCAGGAAACTCTCTTTGCCCTGCTGGAAAAAAAAAAGAAAAACTGGTGATATCAAAGATTAGCGCTAAAACCACCAGTGAGCGGAGAACGATTAAAGAGTCTGAGAGCAAGTAAACCGATCTGAGCCTGTTTTCTTTTATCTGTGTGTGAGCCGTCTCTGTGTGTCAGCCTCACACATCTCAATACGTCTGTTTCTCTCAGCATCTAACGCCGTATTTACAGGTGCTGGTCATAAAATTAGAATATCATGAAAAAGTAGATTGATTTCAGTAATTCCATTTAAAAAGTGAAACTTGTATATTATATTCATACATTACATACAAACTCATATATTTCAGATGTTTATTTTGTTTAATTTTGATGATTACAAATGACAACAAATGAAAATCTCAAATTCATCATATCAGAAAATTAGAATATTGTGAAAAGGTTCAAAATTGATGGCCCCTGGTGCCACACTCTAATCAGCTAATTAACTCAAACCACCTGCAAAAGCCTTTAAATGGTCTTTCAGTCTAGTTCTATAGGCTACACAATCATGGGGAAGACTGCTGACTTGACAGTTGTCCAAAAGACGACCATCGACACCTTGCACAAGGAGGGCAAGACACAAAAGGTCATCGCTAAAGAGGCTGGCTGTTCACAGAGCTCAGTGTCCAAGCACATTAATAGAGAGGCGAAGGGAAGGAAAAGATGTGGTCGAAAAAAGTGTACAAGCAAGAGAGATAACCGCACCCTGGAGAGGATTGTGAAACAAAACCCATTCAAAAATGTGGGGGAGATTCACAAAGAGTGGACTGCAGCTGGAGTGAGTGCTTCAAGAACCACCACACACAGACGTATGAAAGACATGGGTTTCTGCTGTCGCATTCCTTGTGTCAAGCCACTCTTGAACCACAGACAGCGTCAGAAGCGTCTTGCCTGGGCTAAAGAGAAACAGGACTGGACTGCTGGTGAGTGGTCCAAAGTCATGTTCTCTGATGAAAGTAAATTTTGCATTTCCTTTGGAAATCAAGGTCCCAGAGTCTGGAGGAAAAGAAGAGAGGCACTTCATCCACGTTGCTTGAAGTCCAGTGTAAAGTTTCCACAGTCAGTGATGGTTTGGGGTGCCATGTCATCTGCTGGTGTTGGTCCATTGTGTTTTCTGAGGTCCAGGGTCAACGCAGCCACATACCAGGAAGTTTTAGAGCACTTCATGCTTCCTGCAGCTGACCAACTTTTTGGAGATGCAGATTTCATTTTCCAACAGGACTTGGCACCTGCACACAGTGCCAAAGCTACCAGTACCTGGTTGAAGGACCATGGTATCCCTGTTCTTAATTGGCCAGCAAACTCTCCTGACCTTAACCCCATAGAAAATCTATGGGGTATTGTGAAGAAGAAGATGCAATACACCAGACCCAACAATTCAGAAGAGCTAAAAGCCACTATTAGAGCAACCTGGGCTATCATAACACCTGAGCAGTGCCACAGACTGATCGACTCCATGCCACGCCGCATTGCTGCAGTAATACAGGCCAAAGGAGGCCCAACTAAATACTGAGTGCTGTACATGCTCATACTTTTCATGTTCATACTTTTCAGTTGGCCAACATTTCTATAAATCCTTTGTTTTTATTGGTCTTCAGTAATATTCTAATTTTCTGATATGATGAATTTGAGATTTTCATTTGTTGTCATTTGTAATCATCAAAATTAAACAAAATAAACATCTGAAATATATGATTTTGTATGTAATGTATGAATATAATATACAAGTTTCACTTTTTAAATGGAATTACTGAAATCAATCTACTTTTTCATGATATTCTAATTTTATGACCAGCACCTGTACTCTCTGCAGAAAAAGACGTCTCTGTGATGCGGAAACAACTTGTGTTCACATTAGCATATTTTCTGATCCAGTAAAAACCAACAGAGAGTAAAAACATGTCTCCTCCTCTGAGGAGGAAATCATAAAGGAATACAGAGCAGGCATCCATTGGCATTGGGCTGCAGGACAGACCAGAAGCTACCCTGATTGATTAATAGCAAAAGTTTTTTCTGTATTTATATTTGATGTTTTCTGAGTTTTTAAAAACTGGAACACAGGGTTATAACCTTGATAGTGTGAATTAAAATTGTGCCAAACTGGAAATGCTGAAGAATACAAAATGACACAGCTATATGAAGAAAGAAAAAGTTAATCAAAATCAACTGTCTTTCATGATCATTCCAGTCCTCAAACCTGTTTCTCATGCAAAATCTGTGGGCTTAGCGGAAAGACTAGGCTTAAAACTTTCCTTTTTGATAAAGCTTCTAGTTAGAGTGGCTCAGGTTATCCTGAGCTATCTCTATAGTTCTGCTGCTATAGGCTTAGACTGCTGGAGGACATAGGGACCCCTTCTTCATCATTCTGCTTCATTCTATCTCTATTCTCCCACTCTGCAGAATCTGTTAGTTCAATCTCTAACGTTCTGCTCTCTCTGCTTTTTCTCATAGTAGCTTCATCTGGTCTGTTCCTGTTTGGCTGTGACTCCATCCTGGAGAGAAATATCAGCTGTGCTGCTGCCATCAACACCTTTGTTTCTAGATGTTGGAGCTTGGCCTGTTTTCCAGTGTAGTCCTGTTTCTCTGACTGTGACTAACTGGATGTGCTCTCTTCATCCTCTGATATGGGAGCTGGCTCGGAGCTCGTCTGCCTGGCTGTGTGTTTCCTGGACGGGGCCGCCTGTGGAGCTGGTTGACAGTTGCCTTTTGTATCTATGCTTCTTTTTCTATGTCTGCTTCTGTCTCCTTGAACCCCAGTGGGCCTCAGCAGATGGCCGCTCACACTGAGCCTGGTTCTGCTGGAGGTTTCTTCCTGTTCAAAGGGAGTTTTTCCTCTCCACTGTCGCTACAAGCATGCTTAGTGTGAGGGATTGCTGAAGAGTCAATGAGTCGATGCAATCAGCTGGTTTTCCTTAGATAGAAAACTTTGAATCAATCTGACTGGATGATCTGGTTGAACTGGAAAGTGACCTGAGATGACATGATGTGAATTGGAGCTATAGAAATACACTGAATAGAATTGAACTGAATTGAAAACGGCCTCTAAGAAGATCAGAGATTTTAAAAGAGAAGATCCTGGAGCTCAAGCTGTCCTGTTAGTAACAGCTGGGTCACATCAGGAACACCAACAGTTTTAAAACCAATTATTTCTTAATGTCATAAATTAGGAATCAATCAGTTTCTATTGCATTGAGGAATATTATCTCCATAGAAAGTGATTCTGCTATGATTAAAAAGACACTCTTTTTCTTCATAAGACATAAATAGATAAAGCATGACTTTGCATCAAGGCATCGTTCTTGTTAATGTTTTCACATAATAATTCTGTTTTTGAAGAAGCTTTGGAATATTTTATCTTTCGCCGCTCTCCACCAGCTATGCATAAATCTCCTTTATTCCAAAAATACATGCATTGTTTTCTTTGACTGAAATTTTAGAAGCCTGCTTTTTTAAAATGAATGAATAAAAGCAAAGCCAACAGCAACAATCATCAACAATCAGTTAAGAAGCAAAAGGTAACCAGGTGAACCTAGAGTGACTCATTACATGGATCTTCCAGTCGGTGTGGAGCAGCTCACTGCGTCCCTCTGCTGTGTGGTGCACCTCCTCTCTGCCTCCCTGGAGACGTAGATGGAGGCTGTAGTGATCAATGGCTGCCTCTGCAAGGTTTTCTCAGCCAATTAGGAGATTTGTTCAGGCGCTAAGTGCTGCAAGCAGCAGCAGTGAAATCACTAGTGAAGCAGAGGTAAGTAAGGGTGTAGATTTCGTAAATTAACCCCACATCTGTCTCATTCTGTTGGTGTGAACGGGTCCATGGAAGTATGAATCCGAAAAGGAGGAATCTAAGGAAATTCAGCTGTTTGGTTTTTAAATTGGTGATTCAGGAAGTGGTTTGGAGGACATTAAGAGGACCATTTCTGTTGGCAGGACATATAATGCCCTTTTTTCCCAATCTGCTCGACTTTGCCTGGCTTTGCTCCCCCACCCCCCCCCCCCCCCCCACCCCCACCCCCACCAACACATTCATAAACATTTCCTCCACTACTTTATTAAAACTGTTATTGGCTTATTTGACCCAGGTCAGAAGTATGATAACAAAGTGGAGTAGGGCTGAAAGGAGCCTGTACAAACATTGAAAAAGCAGAAACATTTGAAACTTGGTGGAGGGAGAGTCTATCCAAGCAATATCATGGAAAAGAATGAAGAAATGGAGTCTTGATGCTCCACAGATAGAACACATCTAATCTGAAAGCAGTTAAGAAAAGCAAATAAAACCGTCATCCGTGTTTTTGGAGTGTAGGAGCTAACAGCTTATGCATTTACAAGGATTATGGCAAATTAAACCAAACTAACCCTAAACATTCCTTGGTTCAAGGCAAATGCTTATGGCAGACACCCCAAGTTCCAAAAACTCATTTCAGGGAGATGCTTAACCCCCCCCCCCCCTTCCCACCGGGTACCGCACCATGCCCCAAAGATACACACTTCAGGCAAGCAACTTCTTGTTTATTAGCTAACAGTAATTTATTAAACACTAAACAGAGCAGTATTGGTCTTTTATTTTCTATACTTTCAATCTTGTAGCCTTGATCATGCTTTCTGTTTTTCATGGACTTCAGCATGCAGTGCACCTCGCCACGATGACATCATTCCTCACCATGGCCGGTGCTAGACAGGGGCCAACCGGGGCCAGAAATTCTAATGATGATGCGCTGGAACAGACATGGTTACTGATTGGTCCTTTGGATCTATTTCATTCTTTTTCTTTACAAATTCTGTTTCACTAATTATTCAAAAACAATAAGGTGATAGCTTCAGTGGGATTGATATATGATCCCAGTTTTCATCTGATAAATTTTTTTTTTTTTCACAACGAATAAAAAAAATCCTCTAATTTTTACAGATGAATTTAACAGTTTTTCTTGAGTTCTAATTCAAATTTTGTAGAAAACAGTAGTTTTAACTTAGATTTAGTCAAAATGATGTATAATTCTCCTGGAACTTCCGGGAGAGTTGGGATGTCTGCTATGGAGCTAAAAGAGACTCAACATTAAAGGGGCAGGAGCACAAAAGTTTTACTTCTTCCTACTCCTATTCACACATGTAATAGAGGTATATTAATTTAGGAAAGAAGGGTACCTTGTTTTTGTTTTTCTCTCCAATGTGTTTAAACATTGTTTTATTGGGTTTTTTTGTTTTTTTCTCTTGCATGTTCGAAATAAAAAAACAAAACATTAACAAGCATGTAATCATGTACAGCTTATTCCTCCCATGTTCAGGATAAGATCCACACAAAGTGTGAACGTATCTTTGTATCAGCGTTGCTGTTAAAGTTGACTTTTTCAATGAAATCATCATTCTAACTGATTGTTTTCCTTCTGTTAATTAACTTTTTTTACAAAAATATTTCATTTCTTTGCAACAAAATAAAGAATAATTAAAGTTTTGCTCTTTAATGTATCAATTCTATCTAGGTAAAATATAATACTATAAACTAATTTAATTTAACTAATATTAGGAGCTTGGATTATTACTTATTTCTCTTCCTCAACATGAAATAATTTAAGATTTTTTTTCATATTTTCAATTTGATTAAACAGGATAGAGGAATTTTATTTCGGGTTTTGCTAAATTGAGCAGAATGACCAATAAATAAAGAGTTAATCATCAGCCAGAAACTGGAAGAAAGATGTAGAAAACAAACGTTTCTCCCCATCTGAAAATAAAAACATTATCACTTTTGTTTGGTTCTTTTTCTACCTCATCAGCTTTAAGTCAAACTCTACTGCTCTCCTGCACTCTGCTGCTATTTGTAATAAACGACCTTTCTTTATTACATCTCAGCTGAAAATATACTTAGCAGCCTTTTTTTGAACCTTTAAGAAAAAAGAAAAACTGTTCTGAAAAACTCTTTAGTAAATAATTAATCAACCATGTTTCTTTTTCAGAAGGTAACTGTATTTTTGTTGTCTGTTTATAATTGATATGTCAACAATTAAAATGTCTTATTATTGATTTGAGGGCGTCAGTGCTCCCCCTGCAGGTTTAGATCGGAACAGCTCGTTGGTGAATAACATCAAGTAGAACATAAATCTCCTGGTGTCCGATGACACTGCTCTTCTTTTCTGGCCTAATAACAGGCGATGGCGGTACGTTTTAATTTACAGTCAAGATGTCATGGTTTTGGTTTTGTTTAAGTTTTATCTTTGAGTTTTCATTGCTTTAATTTCCATTTGGTGTTGTTCTAGTTTTAATTTTTTTATTGTATTTGAGTTCTTAAGTATTTCTTGTTTGCTCTTTGTTGCCCCCAAATTCCATATCCCCCTTCAGCGCTCCGCCCCGCTCACATACGTCACATACTGTTCCACATCCTCCGCTACTCCTCCGCACGTCACCGTCAAAATACGGAGATGAGTTACCCTGAAATCCCACATCCTCCATAACCGCCCCGCTCCGCTCCAGACTGTTACAAAAATCTACAACAAAAATAAAACATTTGGGCAGAAGACGCAGATCTGCTGGATGCTGATGGAGATTTTTTTTTAATGCGTCATATTACAGTAAGCGTTCATTTCTGCATGTTTTGCTCCTATGAATTTAACAATAATATCGGCCATGCTCTCCTCAAACTTTGAGGAAGTCGGGCGGAGCGCTGACGGAGGATGTGGAATCTGGAGGTTATTTTTTGCTCCGCTCCAGCAGGTCAATATCCGCATCGCCAATCGCACCAAACAGCAAAAAGAACGTCGGGAAAACCGGTTTATCAAAGTAAAATATTGTAACAACGGATCGGTAACTAGAAATTAGACCATAATTCTTATATATTCCCAAAAACTAAGACTGTTTCATTTCATTTTTGGATGCAAACTATTGGTTCTTCAACAGACCAGGAAGCAGATTTCTAATCTTAATCCAAATATTTATTTCATACCAATTATCACAGTCTTGGTTCTATAATGTTTTCTTTTCAGTGTTCAGTTCAACTTTGCTCCATGTTTTTTTTAGTTTTATTGGTTTAATTTTTGTTTTGTTGTGTTTTCTGGTTATATTTTAGTTCTCATGTTTTTATTTGTTGCCCTCTGCTGCCCTCTAGTGTTGGTCTCCTTATTCCATAGCTCCTTATACTGCTCTCTTCACACCTGCTCCCAATCTGCTCGTTAGTCCCCTCTTTGGTCAGTCAGCCATAAATACTCTCCTTGGTCATTTCCTCAGTGCTGGTTCCTTGTCTAACTTCCTCCAACTCCGTCTGACTGTGTCTTCCTTGTTTCGAGGTTTTCCCCTGAAGTCTCCATGGTTTCTGGTTTATTTTACTTTTTTCATGTTTGATTTTTTTATTTTTAAAATCCTGTCTCAGCTGTCCGTTAACTTTTCATTAAATTTACAAGAAACTCACCTCTGCCTCCCCGCCTCTGCATTTGGGTCCTCAAACCACAAACAAATCCTGACACCAATAGGCTTAAAAGTTTAACCAAATCCTGTCAAAAGAAACTTCTTATTGCAGGAATGGATGAAGAGATTCTGAGTTTGGAAGCAGAGAACAGAGTTCATACAAACCATGGATGATCGCAGTTTTCCCTGTTACAGAATTCCACAACAAAAAGAAAATATTAGGGCAGAAAGTGCTCATATGCTGGATGCTGATGTGGATTTTTTAAATGTCGTATTAAATCAAGCGTTCATTTCTGCGCCGTGTTCTCCTATAAATTTATTTAATAATAATATTGCACATGAGCTCCTTGAGCTCCAAAGAATTCAGAGTGCAGCAAGACCGGAAGAGCAACGGAGGCTGTAGGCTTTGCTTTATGCAGGCGCTCTGGAGCAGAGCACAGCGGGGCGGTTACAGAGGATGTGGGGATGCCAGGTCAGTCTCCTTTTCTCCTAGCTACCTTCTAGACTCCTCTGACCACACCTGCTCCCAATCTGCTGATTAGCCTGCTCTTTGTTTCTGTATTGCTCAGTCACTGCTGCTGGTTTGTCGTCATTTCATCCCTTTCAAGTGAGTTTTTCTGAAATTTGTTGATTCATGTTTTTGGATTTTTGCTTCTGTTGACCTTTTTGGTTAATTAAATCTTGCAAGTCACCACCTGAGCTTCAGTCTCTGCATTTGGGTCCTTCAAACCTCCACTCAACCTGACACGAGATAACTGCTGAAATTAGCAGATTGCTGAATGAAAGGGGACTGAGTAGAAATTCCTGTTACACCTTTCAGATATATTTACTGTTTATTTAGCCGACATTTCATGGGCTATATGTAGAGTTTGTTAGATCAAATAAAATCCCAATAAAATGTGTTTGCAAATGTTCAATAAATCCCATATGGTTTGCAATAATAATGGATGAGAGTAAAAAGAGGATTACCTGAAGCTAATCAGCATCCAGTCGGTTTATCGATCCACAGCAAAGACAGAAAAGAACAGAGGAAAAATCTTTTAGAATAAAGTGCAGAAAAAAAAACTTCTATAGCATGATTAGAAAGAGAAGCCTTATGCATGTTCAGTATGTTCAGAGTACCTCGTGATCCTTTTTACAAGCAGCTATATTTGAATCAGAGGGCTTATACACACAAACAGTAATTATTTAAAGAATGGAGACCCAGCTGATCTTAATGTGGATGAATAAGCAGAAAACTTCTAGGAAAACTGCCTGTAAATGAACTGTATGCATATTTCTACATCTGACCGCACCATGAAGCTAAACTGTGATGACACAAACAGGCGACAGACAACATGCTCTAAAGCAGTCTTTTTCAACCCTGGTCCTCAAGGCACCCTGCTCTGCATGTTTTAGATGTTTCCCAGCTTTCACACACCTGTTGTCAATTGATGGCAGATTATCAGACTTTGCTGAAGCTCAGAAACATCCAAAACATGCAGAGCAGGGTGCCTTGAGGACCAGGGTTGAAAAACACTCCTCTAAAGATCTGCTCGGGGCCCCGCCCCTTTTTATGACATCATAACATGGCGACTCCACTCTACAAACTGCATTGCACCGGTTTCTTAAGGATCAAATCTCCTTTGGAGTCTCAACATATTATTCCATATATTTACTATTGTTTTATATCATTGTTGATCTAAAGTAGCCGAAAGCAGAAAACAATCATTGTCAGTCTTAGAAGATAGAACTGCGTTCTAATAATCCATCCATCCATCCATCCATCCAGACTATGTCTCTCGGCCGGCCTTGGAACCCTTCTGTGGTTTCTGGGGAGAGGGAAATCAGGGCGTCTCTGATAAGACCCGATTCCAGAGAAGTGGAAGATGAAGACTATGAGGCTATAGGATGAAAATTCATGATAACTGATGGCAATGACAAACAGATAAGAAACGCCTAGCTAAAGCGAAATAGAGCAAAAACCTGATCTTTACCACATCTTTGATTAGGAAAGTATACCTTCCACATGCTGGCTTCCTTTCCATACACCACAGCCATGTTGTTGACTTTGTTCTGCTGGATGCTCCTCTTCTCCGTCTCGTTTAGTTCCTCTGAAACAAAGCCCATGAAGGAATTGTCTGGTGTGTGGGCTGAAAGCGTGCAAGTGTGAAAGTAGCAGAGTGATGAGGAAGGTGAAAAGAAAGCAGAAAGACAGAGGAAGACAAGAGAGGAACATACTTTTATTCTAATTGAGAGGAAGAGAAGAATGCAAGGAAAATCAGTCCATTCTTTCGCTCTATAGTTCAGTGACTGGAAGTATTATAACTCATGGGAGTCACTGAGCTGCTTCCTGTCGGTTATTTCAAAGAATAATGCATGGATTTGATATTATAAAATGTATGTTTTAAGCAATTCATGTGGTCTTCTCAGTGAGTTCAAGCAATTTGACATGATAAAAACCGACTGCAGAAATAATCCTCCGCTGCTGACTTCTTTTTGTAAGCCAACTGCTTATTATCCCCTTTTCTGCAGAGTGCATTCTCAAGTATTGAAGATCTGTAATAAAAGCAGGCCTGCCACGCTCTCATAAGTATGAAGGTTGAGTCACTCATTATAGCTCTGACCAGTCTGGAATGTGGGAGTCTACAATATGCTGAGCATTGTCAATATAATGATCCTGCTGCTGAGACGCTGAGGGCTGAATGTAAAAGCAAGAGACCGTTAAGCAGTCAATGATTCGGCCAGGAAGTGAAGAGACAAAAAGGTATCAGACCTTTTGTGCAGGTTATAAGAGGAAAAAACTGGACAAGAGAAGTGGTAGAGGTAGAACGAACACTGTGCTGAAAATAGAAATGAATGTGAACAACAGCCAAGACCTGTTAAAAGAAGTGAAAAGACTAGTTTAACATTTTCAGAAATTTTAAAAAGACAAAAAAAGGTGTTTTAATAGCATGAACGGCATATTTCCTATAGGGTGACTTTTTTTTTTTTTTGACAAGAACAATCAACTCTTTACAAACTGACAGATTAGAGGCTAGGTATCAAACGATAAGTAAAACACAGGATGATCTTACGGAACATGGTCATGTACTGCCGGGCGTTCAGGTTCCAGTAGCCCCAGTTGGTCCGATAGCCATGCAGGGTTGCGTACTCTTCATGGTTGTAAGCTGGCTCCGTCCCGAATGTGTCAATAACCCTGATGTGACATCTGTGAAGGTAGAGCAAAACACAGCAACACTTACATTAATTTTCAGTGCCAAGCCTCAATGCATTTCATTAGGAATCTATGTGATCGTAGGGAAAGTCATATTTTGTCAAGATTAATTGCAAAGAGGGTGAAATGTAACACGTCATTATTAAAGAAGGAGGAAGTTGGCAGAAAGCAATTAGAAAGAAAAAAGCAAAAACCTTATGATTCTGATAAAAGAGCGGTTTTCATTTTATTGCTAAATGTGCAAATTGTGCAGCCATCTTGAAATTTGGCAATTTCAAAGTGGCTGCGACTGTAGGCAGCGGCTTGATACAGCTCCAGACACATACACAAAATAAGTCGCTTTGAACGCTAGAAATTAGGCATCGATCCTGCATCTACGACCATCTGTGGGATGAGCGTTGGCCCATAGGCTGCATGTTGAAGTAAGGCTATGGCTGCTAATGCAGATAGGCTAATACTGACTAAATGCCAGCGGCTTCTGTACCTGGATTGTGCCGAGGCTGATTTTATTTTTATTTTTAGCAGAGGGCAAAATCTCCATACATTAACTTAATGTGTTGTTTTATTGAAAAAGGAGTGAAAATTTGTCTTTAGAGGACAAAGTACCGTTGAAAGTGCTTTGAGATTGTCAGTTGCAGTAGAAACCAATTATGTAAGAATAAAATCTATGTATTATTTGTTCACTTCTTTTAAAATTGAAATAAAACATAAAGAAGACAGCTCTGTCTTCCAGAGTGACTCTAAAAATGTTTTGAAATTTATTCGAACATGATACAAATATAAAGATAAAATAGTGCACAGTAACAAGAAGTGCATAAAAAAGAAGAGAACAAATACAGATATTTGTTTCAATTAACATATCATGCTCAAAATGGGGTAGGAAGAAGTGAAAACTTATTAACTCCTACCCCCTAAACACTTGAAAAACTTACAGTCCTACTGTTATTAAAAAATCAGAGCCAAGTGAAAGTCAAAGTGCCCGTCAGCAGTTACTAATATTTAACATTTCCCTTTTTATGCTGGTTTGTCTTTTCAAACCCTTACACCGGGTTGTTATCTTTAATACACACTTTTTTGCTTTCTCTCACTCATATGTCTATCTCTATTGAAAATGACCTCCTTATATTTTCTTTTGAATTGTATTAAACTATTGCTTTGTTTTAAATCTTCGTTTAAGTTGTTCCATAACTTTACACCTTTAATTGAAATACAGAAGCTTTTTCTTGTTGTTCGCAACTTGCGCATCTTTAAGTTTGAGTAACTCCTTAAATTATACCCCACTTCTCTTTCAGAAAACATGCTCTGTATGTGCTCAGGTAACAACTTCTTAGATACTTTGAACATAAATTGAGCCATTTTAAATTCTACAAGCTTGTCAAATTGGAGAATTCTGGATTTTTTTGAAGAGTGGGTTTGTATGCTCATAATAACTAATATTATGGATGATTCTAATGGCTCGTTTGTGTGGGATGGTTACCGGATGTAAAGAGCTCTTGTAATTAACTCCCCACACTTCACAGCAATATGATAGATATGGTCAAATCAGAGAGTTATATAGGATATGAAGTGATTCAGCATTCAATACATGTCTAGCTCTAGCCAATATAGATATGCTTCTACTGAGTTTACCCTGTAAATGTTTAATATGAGGTTTCCGATCTATTATTACGCCGAGAAACTTATTAGCAAATACCCTTTCTAGAGTTACGTCCTCTATTTGAACTTGGATTTCAGTATTTTTGTAACAAAGTTACAAAGCAACAGGTTTTAAACGTTACATTGCCAGTGCCAAGCAAAAAATGCTCCTGCATAAGTGGACATGTTGCTTGTTAGGTTTATTCAATGATGATTATAAAATTAATGTGTGCTTATAAAACATTTGTGCGAGGGGATGCTCCACTCCTGTCTCTTGATCCAGTCAGGAGACCCTCCTGCCTCGTCATTCTGATGGAGCATTCTGTCTTCATGAACTGATCAGTTGTTCTGTCAGAACAATACTCTGTTTGTAACCATGCGTCATGTTCTGTTAATAAAAGATGGCTGCAGGAGGGGATTCTGAGAAGGAAAGCTTGAAGTTGGGTTGGGCTTTTCCTTCCGCTCCTGCAGAAGCTGCTTGAATCTCTTTCCTGTGTAGACTCAATTTCTATTTATTTGCAAATCTACATTTTCTGAATCCAACATGGCTGCAAACCTAGTAGGATTATTAAGACAACTAATTCCAGCCACCTAAGTGTGTAAAGTTTTGCTCGTATTGCTTGCTGTCACTATCTAGATCTCGGGAGAGCAGAGCGGATTTATTTTATGTGATTCTCAACAGCTTCTGACTCTGTACTGTTTCTGCTTGTTCCCACTTCGTTCTCCCATCATCCTGTCTGCTCAAAGCCTGCTTCCACTCTGTTCAGTCATCATCTGTCTTCTCAGGCGTGTAAACGTTGGGTCCTGCTTGTTCTGCCTTTATCTGCCTCCTTAAGCCGGCTAATTGTCTGCTTCAGTCGTCACCTGTCTGTTCAAGCTTGCTAACTATCTGCCTGCTTGACATTCGTTCCAAACTGTTTGCAATAAACTTTTTAAATGCTCTCCACATACCTTATATCAAAGATTTTATATAATTTTCTGCTACCAATGGCTTAGCCGTAGGGACATACAGAGAGAAATGATCAATGGCGGCTGGTGGAGTTTTCACCAGAGGGGGCTATAATTTAAAATAGAGGTATACCAAAAACCAATCAAACGCACACTTAGATATATAAGTTATCACACCAGTATATTTATATGAATGCCAACAACAAATAACATGATAAAAACAAAACATAATTTAATGTCCAGGTTTACTTTTTGTCCATAAATCTTTCCCTTCTGAGGCTGTGAAGGTTAATCTGTGTTTTCCATGCTCCAATATTGGGTCACAAACCAAAAAAATAATGAACCGGTTTAATAATGGAGAAGCTATTAGTCAGCTTTATATTCTTTAATATCTAAAAACTATTTATTTTCTGAAAATGTGTTTATTTAAGAGCAACTATGAAAATAAACAAACAACTAAAAAAAGTCGACTATATTCTATTATTTTCCATGTGAATCCCAAACTTTTTTTTTTTATTCTTCTTTGCCTTTTCTGGAAAGTGCTTTAAATCAGTCCTAGCTGTCTTTATCCATGCTGGATCAGATCCTGATGTTTGAAAAAGGAGGCAGGGAAAGCAGGATAAAGCCTTAGCCTCGCTGCACGCAGTTAGCCGCACTGCATGCAGTTAGCCTCGCTGCATGCAGTTAGCCTCGCTGTATGCAGTTAGCCTCGCTGCATGCAGTTAGCCTCGCTGTATGCAGTTAGCCTCGCTGTATGCAGTTAGCTTCGCTGCATGCAGTTAGCCGCACTGCGTGCAGTTAGCCTCGCTGCGTGCAGTTAGCCTCGCTGCGTGCAGTTAGCCGCGCTGCGTGCAGTTAGCCTCGCTGCATGCAGTTAGCCTCGCTGCATGCAGTTAGCCTCGCTGCATGCAGTTAGCCTCGCTGCATGCTGTTAGCCTCGCTGCACGCAGTTAGCCGCGCTGCACGCAGTTAGCCGCGCTGCACGCAGTTAGCCTCGCTGCATGCAGTTAGCCTCGCTGCAGGCAGTTAGCCTAGCCTTGGAGCTAAACCAGGTCCTGGAAAAAGACGTTTCTGCACCATTTCTCTCTCGTTTGTATTGCAGAGGAGCTGCTGCGCGTGGAAAACTTTTGACGAGAGTCAATGTGCAAAGATTTTTGCCCCCTATGTTGGACATACGTCACCGATCTGATGAAAAATTAAACAACGCTTAATATTAAATATTTTTCATGCACATTAAAAAAATAAATATCAATATATTTTGAAATATTTCAAATTTTAATTTAAAATAAAATAATAAATATATATATAATCAGGCTCATTGGCAGGGTGGGGCAGACAAGGTAAAGTTGGACTTCTAAGATTTCAAACAGTTATTACCAGATAACTCATTAATTTCACCAACATCAATTAATTATTGTGTTATTATCTAGTAAAATGCAGTTCATTATTTGATATATAACAGAAAATCAAACCTAGAAGATAAGACAATCTTCTTAACTGAATTCTTATTTATGTGTAGCTTGACTTCAGTTTTATAAAGCTTTAGTTACTTGATCATTAGTTAAAATTTACTTTGTAAGCCGTTGGTAGGTGGTGGCGAATAATAGAAACTGTTATGTGCTAACCTAATGCTAATTACCCATAAAAAGTCTCCATTGTTACATAGTAACATACAATTGTAATAATTACATGCATGTAATTACTTAATCAATTTAGGGGTAATTACCAAATAAGGTTTTTCTTGTTACCAAGTAAAATTATGTGACTTGCTATGTTATTAAATGTTTATTGATGTACTGTAAAAGTATATGTCTCCTGTGGAACCAACTACCAGTTTTAGTCCGTGAGGCAGACACCCTGTCTACTTTTAAGGCTAGGCTTAAAACTTTCCTTTTTGATAAAGCTTCTAGTTAGAGTGGCTCAGGTTATCCTGATCTATCTCTATAGTTCTGCTGCTATAGGCTTAGACTGCTGGAGGACATAGGGACCCCTTTTTCATCATTCTGCTTCATTCTATCTCTATTCTCCCACTCTGCAGAATCTGTTAGTTCAATCTCTAACGTTCTGCTCTCTCTGCTTTTTCTCATAGTACACTGAAAAAAATAATGCAACTGCTTTTGGCATTTACTTAATCATTTTTAGTTACTTTTAACTCAATTGTTTTAATGTCCTACCCAGCTAATATGAAACAATTGTATTAAAGTAACTAAATATGATTAAGTAAATGCCAAAAACGGTTGCATTATTTTTCTCATAGTAGCTTCATCTGGTCTGTTCCTGTTTGGCTGTGACTCCATCCTGGAGAGAAATATCAGCTGTGCTGCTGCCATCAACACCTTTGTTTCTAGATGTTGGAGCTTGGCCTGTTTTCCAGTGTAGTCCTGTTTCTCTGACTGTGACTAACTGGATGT